TTAGGGTTAGGATTAGGGTTAGGGTTATGATTAGGGTTAGGATTAGGGTAAGGGTTAAGGTCAGGGTATTAGCCAAGCACATTGGTTTTATTGGGACCCATGTTCTCTATCTATCCTTGGGCCCTAACTTTCAGTGCTGCTCATTTAATGACATTATGATTCATGCATTTCATCATTCGTGTACCTCTCTACCTGTATATGATACAGTACCTGGATCTGTGGCTCCTTGTTAATTGCTCTAGTTTTCTTTGCGTTACCTCCTTTAAAACTTGCCCATGTTCTAAAATCAGTGCACGCCCTGCATGGTTTTCTACCCCTAGCCGATAAAGTTTCGTCATTCAAGTCTTCTTCTATGGAGGCTGACATGTTGATTGTGATCAAAATTGCAAAGCATTCTGGTCTAGACATGGCTGCCAGTAAAGGTGAAATTTATGTTGTACACGGTTATTTATCATATACGTTAATATAACTTCGTTGATTATATGGAATTTACCTTTCAGCAACTACAATGTATCATATATTCTTTCCATTATTATTTTGACGAATTATTGGTAATGCGTTCGAGTGTTTAACGTGATTATCCGAGTGATTATGAGTGATCGTGGATCAAGGAATTGAAGGCCAGCTTGGTTCAAGGATAGAGAACATGGGGGTCCCAATAAAACCAATGTCATTTACATCAATATAAATATAATATTATATATATAATAGGTTAGGGTTATGGTTAGAATTAGGGTTAGGCACATTGGTTTTATTGGGACCCATGTTCTCTATCCTTGGGCCAATAGCTTTAGCTCTAGTAGTAGTAGTAGTAGTAGTAGTAGTACTATAGCCCGCGTTCATTAACTGCCGCAGGTTATCTCCTTCCTTTATCGCATTCTCTTCCTTCTGGTTAATTTTAAAATTAAAGCTTTTTAATTTCGCAGTGGCTACGCGTCCGGACATCCACTCGCAGTGATCGCGCGACTCGCGTACACATGATTGCGCAACGGGACGCTCTGCTGATTGCCGAAAATATACAATATATGCACTGCTGCCGTCTATCCTTTGATCCGTCCTCTCTCGCTCTCTCTCTTTCGCACACACACGCACAGCTCTCTAT